CACGATACAGTTTGTCCGATACTAGTATCCGTGCTCGTGTGTCTGTGTGTGTCACTCCATCCCGTTGTTCATTCATTCGCCATGAACACTTGCTTCTGCCACCTCATCAATGATTCGGATATCCTGCAACAATAAAGGATGAGAAAACGTTCTGGCTTCTGCCTGATTGCCAGTTACAACACTTCCCACACCCTGCAGCTGTCAGCGCCTCATCAACGCACCAAGGAACCTTTCTACCGGCCGCCTGCCGCAGCCCGTCTCCTTTGGGGGAAATCTCAAAGTGTGTATTCAGAAGAGTTTGTTCCAGGGGTTTTCAGGCTCAGATCCTATCCTATACATTAATATCCCATCTGGCTTTCACGCCTTTTCTGGGGAATGTAGGAATCATATGCTTGAGCAGGTTCCGACGATGTGAGTGTTGAAGGGGAGGTGAGAGTTACCATCACAATACACTCATGTATCCAGATACAGATGGTCTTCTTCTTCAGATTGTTTATTCAGTAAATTATGGTCCACTTAGAGTTAAATAGACCATAAAGCCGAGTACTTCTGTGACCAGAAACATATTTGGCGTCACTCCTCCACATTCAAAATGTGGTAACTTGGTAGCAAAAAAACGACACAGCGATACAGGGATTCAAAACGTCAGTTCACAAAACATTGGGTCATTGGGTCAAGTCTGTGGTTGAGGATTTGAACTGGTGAATACGTTTTTCTTATTTGCTAAATGAGTCATTTGAAAAGCCGCACAGTGGAATTATTTTGTCCCCCGTGCAAGTTAGCCAAGGGCAACTTCTGAGGGAAGTGCCCCCCTGCATTTGATGATCCATCCAACAAGAAGCTGTGACTGCACAGACAGTACTGTTTGTTCAGATTCAATCAAAGTACACAAGCTGTCAATCAGATTTTAGGAGGCACAGTTTTGGAATAGGACTCATCCTACAGCCTCTTCGCTGGCACACATCATCTTAGTTCACCTTCACCAAATACTATCTATTCCCCCGTAAAGCTGTAGCGTCTCTACAAAAAAGAGAGAGTCTCCTCTAACTATGTGCTCATCCCGTGTGTGCTTTGCACTGTTGGAAGAGTCATTCGACAATAACCCGTGTGAAAGGGCAGCAGGGTCGTGTAATTACTGGATACAATCAGGCTGTGCAGGCCCCGAGGGAGGATGAATGTGTTATTTCTGGATTCCTGTCTGCAAGACT